GGGGGGGGGGGGGGGGGGGGTTGGGGTTCCTCTTGGTAACCTGGTGCCCCTGGCACCACAACTATCCCAAACTGCCCCGAGGAAACACCACAACCAGTCCCACAGCAGGGTGGCCCTGGTGTGCTCTGGGCACCTAGGCCTTACCTGGATCTTCCTTCCTACTCCAGAGGCACCACCAGACGAGGTCTTCCACGTCCCAGCTTCTCCACCCACAGGCCTCAATCTGTCTACATGTCCTAACGCTCTCACCCCCATGTCACCCTGGCTTCCTCCCTTCATCGCTGCCCCTGAAACAGACCCATGCTCCCTTCTCTGGTTAAGGGCCACGGGAACCCAGGTGGCAGGTAACAGGGTCATAATCAGAGGGCAGGGATCATGGGTCCGGGATCTCCCCAGGTTCCCAGAGCAAATTTTCTTTCCTTCAGCACATGCTTTTGAGTGTCAGCTGCATGCCAGCCCTGCATGGGTGCTGGAGATACACTGGTGGGAAGACAGAGATGGTCCTGTGGCCACAAAAGTCATCCGCTAGTGCAGAGGCAGCCGTGTAGCCAGGCAGGGAGGAAGCAAAGAGAACACCTGAGCCCCTCCACAGCCGTGCAGGGCCCTGCACACCCACAGCTGCCCACCTGCCCTCAGAGGGCCTCAGCCCAGCGGGGAGCAGGCAGGGGGCCTCACTCCGGGTTACCCCAGCCTGACTCGTTTCCCTCTTGATGCTCTGTGTGTTCCTCTCCCCAAACCATTGTCTCCCTCCACATCTGAGCCCCTTCGGGGCCAAGAGCAGAACAAGGCAGTCCTTGGTCCTCAGAGCCCAGCCGAGCAAGTGCATCAAGCCCTTGGGTGGACAAATAAAGTTTCTTCTCTGGGACCTGGCCTGGTGTCCCTCAGCTGGTTTGCCTGGCCCTGCCTTGACTTGGCCCCACTTTCTGTGTCCCCTCCAGGAGCAGGACAACCTGGCAGATGCCGAGGAACGCTGCCACTTGCTGATCAAATCCAAGGTGCAGCTTGAGGCGAAGGTGAAGGAGCTGAACGAGCGGCTGGAGGACGAGGAGGAGGCAAGTGCTGACCTGGCTGCCCGCCGGCGCAAGCTGGAGGATGAGTGCACAGAGCTCAAGAAGGACATCGATGACCTGGAGCTGACGCTGGCCAAGGCCGAGAAGGAGAAGCAAGCCACTGAGAACAAGGTGTGGGCCCGGCCAGCTGTGGGGAAGGACCCGAGCCAGGGGGCCGGCTTAGGCGCCAGGTGGCTGCAGGTCACTGCCTCTTGTGGGCCTCAATTTCCTCATCTGTCAAATGGGGTTATCAGGGTGAGTGAGGATTCTGTGTGTAACTGGCCTTTGCTGAGCACACACTACAAGGCCTCGCACACAGTAGGTGCACAGCCAATGCTAGCGACTATCATCCTCCTCCTGGACTGCAAGCCCCTTAGGGCAGGAACCCCACATCCCTGGCTCTGCATCTGCCTGGTTCCTTCATATGCCTTCTACCCTTGAGCCCTCGTGATGGCCCTTGTGGTTCGCGGCCTGGGAAGTACTGACTCCATGAGCCAGAGGGAAGCTTGGTGGGGTGGTAAGCTGCTTGTCCAGGCTCTCAAAGGTGCTCGCTGAGGTAGCCAGGGTCTATCCATCTCTCATTCCGGGCCGGCGCTGTGCTAGTGCCCCGTGAGCTCTGGCTCCCTAACCCCTCAGTACAACTCCAGGACAGTGTCAGTTCTTAGTTATGAGGCAGTGGAGGCTCAGAGTGGAGGGGCTGGCCCAAGTCCCATAGCTGGAAGGGGCAGTTGCTCTGACCTGGCGTGGTGGCTGCTCAGACTGGAGTGTGGGGAGGGAGGTCCCCATGGTGACCCTGCCCCGGCACAGGTGAAGAATCTGACGGAGGAGATGGCCGTGCTGGACGAGTCGGTGGCCCGGCTGACCAAGGAGAAGAAGGCATTGCAGGAGGCCCACCAGCAGGCCCTCGGTGACCTGCAGGCAGAGGAGGACCGCGTGAGTGCGCTGGCCAAGGCCAAGCTCCGGCTGGAGCAGCAGGTGGAAGACGTGAGTCAGGGCCAGCCCAAGGGCCATGTGGCAGGGCGGGGGCACCGGCTGGCATGGGCTGTGGCTGAGCCCTGCCTGTCCTGCCCCGCAGCTGGAGTGCTCCCTGGAGCAGGAGAAGAAGCTGCGCATGGACACGGAACGGGCCAAGCGCAAGCTCGAGGGCGACCTGAAGTTGACACAGGAGTCAGTGGCAGATGCTGCCCAGGACAAGCAGCAGCTGGAGGAGAAGCTCAAGAAGTAGGTGGTGGGGGAGGGCAGCTGACCCGACCTCCCGGCCGGCAGGGCCTTCTGGGCCTGCATGGTGTCCTCATTCCCTTCTGGAGTCTAGTCAGTCCTGCGTTTCTGCAGACGTTAAGTGTCGAGGATTGAGAGATGGGAGTCACTAGGGTACGTGGGGGTGTCCTGCCCTCCCTCGACCAAGGGCCCAGCAGGTCCAGAGCAGCGGGTACACAGGGGTGAGGTCACTTAGGGCCTGGGAGGGGGTGTTTCCTGGGGCCCCTGGCAGGTGGATGGAAGGTGGGGCCTGGCTGGCTCATGCCCACCCTGTGGCTCCCAGGAAGGATTCCGAGCTGAGTCAGCTGAACTTGCGGGTGGAAGATGAGCAGCTCCTGGGGGCCCAGCTGCAGAAGAAGATCAAGGAGCTGCAGGTGCGTGGGGGACCAGGGCAGGTGAAGCTGGGGTCAGAGGTCCACCAAGGTACAGTTTCTGCCCACCCATGCCAGGCTCGGGCGGAGGAGCTGGAAGAGGAACTAGAGGCGGAGCGGGCAGCCCGGGCCCGTGTTGAAAAGCAGCGGGCAGAGGCGGCCCGGGAGCTGGAGGAGCTGAGTGAGCGGCTGGAGGAGGCAGGTGGCGCGTCGGCCGGGCAGCGCGAGGGCTGCCGCAAGCGTGAGGCTGAGCTGGGGCAGCTGCGGCGGGAGCTGGAGGAGGCGGCACTGCGGCATGAGGCCACGGTGGCGGCCCTGCGGCGCAAGCAGGTGGACACTGCTGCTGAGCTGGGGGAGCAGGTGGACAGCCTGCAGCGGGTGCGACAGAAGCTGGAAAAGGAAAAGAGCGAGCTACGCATGGAGGTGGACGATCTGGGAGCCAACGTGGAGACTCTGGCCCGCAGCAAGGTGTCTGCCTCCTTCCCAACCCCTACCTCTGATCCCTGACCCCAGCATCCAGTCCTGAGTCCTCCCTTTGAGCCTATCCATACCCATCCTGACTCTAAACCAATCCTGCCCCCAGCAGTAGGCCCCACCCATTGACTCCTGGCCATTGCATGCCAATACTGACCCCACACCAGCCTTGATCCTGTACCTGATCCTGATCCCTGACCCATTAACCTGACATCCAACCCACATCTCCCCATCTTCCCTGGCCAGTCCTGACCTCAAGTCCTGACTCCTAAATCCTATTCCCTGGCTCCAGATCATCTTTGACCCAGCATCCAATTCCAACGTCAGACCCTTGACATAACATAGTTGTGAACCCCGCCCTTGACTCCTGAACTCTGACCTAATACCTGTCCTGACTCTGTTTCTGTTCTGAACCCCAGCACCCAACCTTTACCCCTGACCTTTGTACCACCTAATCGTGGCAGCTGATCTCTGACCTCTGTCCCCAGCTGACTCCAGATCTAGCATCTTTTATTTTTTTATTTACTTTTTAAAGATGACCGGCAAGGGGATCTTAACCCTTGACTTGGTGTTGTCAGCACCACGCTCTCCCAAGTGAGCTAACCGGCCATCCCTATATAGGGATCCAAATCCATGGCCTTGGTGTTATCAGCACCACACTCTCCCAAGTGAGCCACGGGCCAACCCTCAGATCTAGCATCCTAACCTTCACCTTGACTCAGTGGCCTTGGGACTGGTTACCTCAGAGGGCCTTGGGACCCTCTCACCTTTTGACATCCACTGGTTAAGCCAGGAGCCTAGCAGTAGAATGCCTGGCCCTGAACTTAAGGCTCTCATCACCCTTTGATTCCTGGGCCCATATCTAGCTTTCTAGTTCCTGATCCCAGGTCCCAGTCTCTGCCTGGCAGCCCCAGATCCTGCCCTCTGATGCACAAACTTGTCCCAACCCCTGACCCTGGATCCCAGGCCAGTGCAGAGAAGCTATGCCGGGCCTATGAGGATCAACTAAGTGAGGCCAAGATCAAGGTGGAGGAGCTACAGCGGCAGCTGGCGGACGCAAGCACCCAGCGGGGGCGGCTGCAGACTGAGAGCGGTGAGGCCAGGGGTTCAGTTGGGACATGCCAGGCGGGGCCTGGGTGCTGTCCCTCGCCTGCCTGACCTACCCTCTCCTTTGCCTGCAGGAGAGCTGAGCCGCCTCCTAGAGGAGAAGGAGTCTCTGATCAGTCAGCTGAGCCGTGGGAAGGCTTCAGCCACCCAGAGCCTGGAAGAACTGCGGAGGCAGCTGGAGGAGGAGAGCAAGG